AAAAAAAAAAAAAAAAAAAAAAAAAAAAAACTATATATATATATGCCAGGCATGGTGGCATGGTGGCACATGCCTGTAATCTCAGCTACTCAGAAGGCTGAGGCAGATAAATTGCTTGAACCAGGAGGCAGAAATTTCCGTGAGCCACGATTGTGCCACTGCATTCAAGCCTGAGAGCAAAGCAAGACTCCATCTCAAAAAAAAAAAAAAAAAAAAAAAAGGGACAAACATTGTGAAAATTAATAAAACACATAATTAGTGAATATCTTACATGAAGCAAGCAATGATAAATACAGAACATATCAAGACATGAGAAGAATCTTCTCTATAAAGGTATCTGCAGGATCATAAAATGAAAAAAAAATCCTATGCTGAAGATATGTAAAGCTTTTTACAGTAATGTAAAAGAGGGGATAATTCACTACCTGGTGAAAATGATAAAATAATATTAGAAAAGAAACATCTGAGTTGGCTAATGGAGACGGATTTCAGCAGCTGGAGAAGAAAAGGAAAATCACTTTGGATAAGGGGACCACAGTTAGACAGAAGTCCGAAAAGACTTAAGTTACAGGATCGAAAAGTTGCTGAGAAGAGCTGAGAAAGTAAAGAAAATCGAGATAAAATAAATATTTCACTTGTCATCTCTAGATTCACCATCCAGCCGTCTCTAACCTGCGCTATGCCTTGCAAAGCTAACGTACTAACTCAATTTGCTGCCTCGTCTTTAGACTGCCTGTTAAGTCAGTGTCAATGCTCATAGAAGATGGAAGGAAGAAAGGTGAGTAAGATATGAGTTCTGAGTGTTTATTGCCCTAGCTCCACATCTGTGAGTGCGCCAGGGGCTGAATCTATCAACTGCAGATCACAGCAACTGTCAGGCAGTCCTTTCCATAGGGCTTTATCTGGCTCTGAATCCAGTAACCACAGCAACTCTTCAACCTGCACCTCACACTGCCAGATGGTAAAGGTGCCACAATTACTAGTCCCTTGTACTTTACTGGCCCTTATGCTTTTCCTACATCCTCCCTACCTCTTTGTAAATAGTCCCTTTATAAAATTCTACTCAAGTTAAACTAATTTTAGTATACCATCTGTTTTCTGCTGCAGCCATGACTGATACAGGATGGAGAGATATTTAGTTTTTTAGGGTAGGAGTTTCTCAGGGGAGTGATGGAAAGAGTTTCAGAAATGAGAACTTAATTTACAAATCAGGGTAATGGTGGATTCGTGTATGCCAAGATTAAAGATCTGGCTGGGAAAAAAAGATGTGGCCTGTAAACAGAGTTCTCTTCCTCTGAGATTGGAAGAAAGAATGCAGATATGTAAATATGATTAAGATGGAGGGTCAAGGGAGGTCAAGGAATATCCTGTTTGAAAGGATTTATTTGTTCAGATAAGTGGATAGCATGGCAGTTTCTGTGGAGACAGCAGAAGATGGCTTGAAAGTTCATAAAAACAAAGATGATTTTGATTAGCAGCGAGAAAGTCTACTATTGACAATAATAACCATTAATAAAGAGTTGAGGCTGAAAATTATCCATGGACAAAATATGCTGTATGTCCTTGCCATTTTCTTTAGCAGTGTCTTACAAATGATGTCAAGATCCCTTCCTTGAGGCTGTACTGAACGATGAGAATAACAGAGCCAATGAATAAAATTTCTGGTAAGAGCATAGTGGAGTTGTTTGCCATTTGATCTAGGTTATATAACAAAAGAAATTAATGTAGTAAAGTTTGTGTGACTAGAATAGGAGAGAGCAAACAATTGACTAAGTATTTCAAGAGGTGCAACTAGAGAAGTGATATTAAGGTTGAGAGGTAGTCAGAGAGTGAATCTTGGAGTTTAAGATATTTAATGCAGAGAAGTTCTGGAAATGATAATGTCCCGGGGACCAGAGGAGTGGGTTGCTGAAGTAGACTGGAGCAGAGGAAGTGAGAAAAAAACAAATCTGTGAGAGTTAAGAATTTGACATCTGCGGTTTATTGAAATACTTTAGCATGATGCCCAGTTTTCAAGTTAGAAAAATGAGTGTGAGTGGGTGAAAAAGTGCTATTAAAACATCAGCCCTTCCACCTGTGTAAGATGCTAAAAGTGAAGGAACGTGATAAATATCCTATTGAAACTCTTTTATGAGAACAAGTGTCACTAGTCAGATACAAGGTGAAGATTCAGTTTGATGGCAATAGAAGATTTTCAGAGAGCAGTGTACCAGGAGTTTGTAGAGTGATGAGCAGGTTGAGAATGGATCTAAGATGTAGGGCTGCAATGCATAAGGGTAACAGTCCCAAAGATAAAAGCCCATTGCACTTTAGCATTAAATGCATACTCCATTTCAAGATTGCAATGGTGAGAAACACACTGCTCACCGTTCTAACAGAATCACTACATGAACGGCCTTGGCCTCCTCTGATACATATACATTTTGAAATCCATACTGTCCAAGCTAAACCCTTTTTTTGCTTTGTGAAATTTAGCAAAGTCAATCATCAAACTGAGACAAAGAACAGTTAGCATCTACTTTTATCAGGTGGACATCATCTAAGAGACAGATCATTAGCAAAGAGACTTTCTTCCCATCTAAAGAAATAACTATTATGGGGCCATAAAAAGTTCATGTTTTTCACACTTAGAATTTTCTTTCGATTTATGAAATGCCAAGCATGAATAATTCAGCTCATAAATGTCCAAGATACTCAAACTGCTTTTGATTTATTACTAGAATATGTATAGAATACAGGTAAAATGACACAATTTTCAATATCAAATTTAATTCAAACCAAAAGCAAAGCACAATTTCTTCTTTTATATATTAAAGACACTTCTAAAATAATGTGTTCTTCAAACAGAAATAAAATTTAAGTATAATTCCACTTAATAACTGGAGCTCACAAGTTACCAAATTTTAATCTATAATTTGTAAATAGGGAAGGAAATAAATGTTATAATAGTATTAAGACACATTCAAATTGCTTATTTCAGTAAAACAGCATGTGAATAAATTGAAATATCAAATTAATAAGCTATACATATTCTATGGATGTGGATAATAATTTCGAAATATCTTTTAGAAAGTTGAGATGTCAAATGTATGACAGTCCTGTAGTGGAATTTGGTGACAGAAGAATCATTTTATCTTGTTTCCTGATTTCTTGAGTTTTCACATTGTTATTAGAAAAATTCAGACCTGTCTAATATGGAGATTGAATTTTTAGTTCTTACATAACTGAGTATACCAGTCTTTTGTATCCTCACACCAAAAATCATGAGACTTCTATTTTCTTTCTTGTATATACTGAAATGCATTTTATTTTCTCTACATTAAGAGAGGAGCCCAATAGGTCTCCAGAATTTGGTCTTTAAAATTTTTGAAATCAGATAAATTTGTATTTAAAGATATTGATTGGCACTGTAAGACCTTAGGTAAATTATACAATTTTTATTATTCATAGTTTTCTTAGTTCTAACATAAAAACAATAAATTTCTACATAGCATAGTTTATGCAAAAATTAAATGGGATAAACTAATAAAAATGTCTGCCTCAAGCCTGACCTGTCATGCATTCATTATTCATTATTAATCCCTCCCCATGTTAAGAAAAGCAGTTTAGGAAGAAGGTCACAGTCAAATGTGAATGGTTCAATACAAAGAACAAAGCTATTGACATTCTACTGCATCGAGTTTAAATTGTGCCTCTCTAATACGTCAACTGTGTAGATATGACAGCATGTTTACCTTCTCTGATATTAGGACTCCTCATCTATAAAACAAAAATAAAAATACCCAGCTCAGATTATTCTAATAAGGAGAATGGGAAATCCATACAAGGAACCGATATATTTCTTCACATATCCCATAAATACAAGGAGTATTTGTTCTTTTTTCTATCTCTGTCCCATTTAGGAAGTTGAATTATTTTAATAGTGTAATAGCAAAATGATGCCAAAAAAAAGAGAAAAAGAAAAAAGCATTCTGTATGCAAATAAATGGTATTTATTTTAAAAATAAATTTATAGGGAGCTAATTTTATTATTGAGATCTACGTTAAAGTTAAGACTGGTTAAGGCAAATATCAAGGCAAATATCAGCAGAACTGGATTTAAAAATCTCTCTGCCATTAACATGCTGTGCAACTACAGGCAATGTTAGCAAGTTCATTGTTATGATATCTATAATATACCTAACTCAAATATTCCACTAGAAGATTGAATCAAATATTTTAATGTAAAACTCTTTTACAATGTCTACCTTAAGGTAATTCTCTAAAAATATTTGACTTTATTATTATTCTACAACATTCGAATTTTTGAGTCAAAATAAATGAATCTTTATAAAGAAATTGTTTGCTCATTTTTAAATTTAGAAATATTACAAATAAAATATACCATGAAATATAAAAGTGGTAGTCAAGTTTAAAAGATGTTTATTAGAAAATAATTTTATATTTGTAGCCTGTTAAAATTATTCCAGTGAAAATTCTCAGTTATTCTAACTACTTATCTAAAAAGAATTTTAAAACGAGATAAATAATAGTGTCATAAAAGCATCACATGAATAAATATTAACAGCGCTAAGTAGAAAAAGACGCACTAAGAGAAACTGTGAAAAACTAATGCGTACCTTTCATTAGTCTTTAATTACTGTAAGTTAGCTGAAAGTAGTACATAAGATAGTTGTTTAACATACATTTATACAGGGTATATACACTAGCATCTTTAAACTATAGTAAAGTATCTCCATTTTCAACAAAGCAGATTAATGTAGAGCTTGTAGTTGTATATCTACCACAATTTTAACCCAAAATAAGAAACAATGCTTTCTAGAAAGTGTTGTCAGTTCTGACAATGAGATATTTGTTGCCCAATATGCCTCTGGGAAATTTCTGTATTCAATTAAGGGTATTTTAACGTTTGGTACATTGACTTTTGGAATACATATAGAAGATAAGCTATACTGACTTATTTTTTTCTCAATTTCTCTTAAAATTCAATGTACCATACTAAATCATGAGTATTGATAGTATAGGCATAAAAGAAAATTACCATAATTTGGACAAAATATAAAACTACAAGGAGGATTAATCTCAACATATTATAAACTATCAAGTTTAATAGCAAATAAACTAATTGGAAATTTGCTCTATTCTGCTTTATTGAAATATTTTTCAATAAGGATAAAAACTATGCAATTATTGGCATTTAAATATATTTGCAAAATATTTTAATTTTTAAGTTAGATAGTTATTATTGTACATCTAATTTAGCAACTGGTTTGCTATTGAATACTATTTAGTATGTAACAATTTGAACATATAAGCGAATCAAGCTGTGATCTTCACTTCATACAATGGAAATTAGTGCAAAATATTTAAAAAATATTTTTGGAAGTCAATCTATACTTCACAAAGAAATTTTTATCTGATATGAAAACTCATTTAAGAGTAATGTAAATTTGTTAAAAGAAAATATTTACTGTGAATTTTTTTTTTACAAGCCTGGCGTTTGACTTAAAATAAGCTTCATTTGCAGTTTATTTAGTGTTAGTCACTCACTGGCTTAACCATAAAGTGCTTCAGCACCCACCTGTGAATAACATGTGGCAAAGTGTAGAAACTGCAGAGTGGTTCAGAGCCAGAAAATCTTTATTTCTTTGAGGATGGCATTTCAGGTTTATGGACCTCAATTTTCTCACCCATTAAAAGAAGCGTTGCGAGCCAAAGATTCAAAAGTTATCAGCCATCTCCTGAATTCCAGAAATAATGTGTTTTTTTTTTTTTTTTTGAAACATGACATAGTGAAAACGTTCAGCATCCATAACTTTGTTTAATATAAACTCCATCTATTATCATGTAAGCAAATTTAGGAAAAATAACCTACAATGCTCATTTCACAGGGATGATTTTGGAACCAGGTGAATAGGCATGGGTAACAGTACTTTATAAACTCTAATGCACCACGACAATGTACATAGTGACTTCGACTTCGTTGTTCAATGTTTGTGAATATTCATTGAGAAGCAGGAACAGACATGTAAGTGGACAATCACTATGGCAAAAGCTAGCAAGCCCAATGTGTTAGTTGAATGTAATATAGCTTATTAGTCAGCTATATATTGGGTAAATATGGTTAATATTTCCTAAGTTTTACTCATGGAAAAAGAACAAATGACCCAAGAGAGTACAGAGTATGACATATTTGAATTCCAACTAATCCATGCATAAAAAAAAGTGTATACCTAAGCTTTCTATAATTTTAGTGTTTGAATCAGCAGATTTCTTGATTATAACTGCTTCAACCCCTGTTGAAGCATATAACCTGCCACAAACCTTAAAAACACAGTAAGCACTTAAATTACAAATAATATAAACCAAAAATAATTTTAACTAACTCAACTGGAACACAAAAGAACCTTATTTCATTTTGACATAAATTACCTCACGGTTTTACAGATCACTGAATTTCTGTAGTTTGAAAAGATGAACGGAATAATGTTCATTCTAAAGAATGTTAAGTAGTGTAATTACATTTTTCAGTCCCATCTGACAAAGAGTAAGTTAGTTTTAATTAGTTATAGAAAAACCTGGCTTAAATATTGTTTTTCTAAGGCTGAAGGACATTTATCTAGGTTTATATTTGATGAAACAGAGAAAGAAAATTTAAACTAAAACATACTGATTCATTAACACAATCACAGGATTTTGTATTTCCTAAAAATTAAGAAGCTTCTTTTCTTCAATGTTTATATGATTCTTGCAATAAGACTATTGTATATTGTATGTTAATGCAAATTTTCCTTCTGAATCTATTATTTATGTACACACAAATTCAGAACTTGCTTCCTTTACACAGTTACTTCAAAAATTTCGTTTTTTAAAAAACAAATAAATTAGTGTATTTTCAGTGACAAATATATATAAGTAAAAAGTAAAAAAAAAGCAAAATAAGAAAACAAAAACTGTAATTACTGACTTTCCCTATAACTGACTGTAAATTGATATCATAGTAACACCTCATAAATAATGTTTTAATTTGGTTTATATCTTTTGTTATGTGGATAAGAGTATAATATCAATTTATTTTTGAACAGATAATAATGTGGAATGCTTGAATTAAGCTGTGATCACATTTGTGCTCAATCAGACCTTTTTATAACTTATGATTATGACATATACAATATAGGGTGATGGTTAAGGGGACAGGCTCTAGAATCAGATCAACTTGGATTTTGAATTCTGACTTCTACATTAACTGGTTATATAACTTGGACAACTGAGTTTAAATTCCCTAAGCATCCCTTTTCTGTCTATAAAACTGAAAAACTGATAGGAGCTACCTCAAAAAACATATATGGAAATAAAATGAGGAAAGGCACAGGCCAGTCTTGGGCTCTGCATGGCAGTTACTCTTATTTACATTTTTCCTTTGATGGCTGACAATTTGTGGGATATTTGTGGCTTTTACATCAGAGGACAAAAACATATTTCACTCATGTCAACGGAACCCTCCAGTTGTGTATTTTTCAGCCACTGAAGTTTAAACATGTGATGGCTGTTGAAAACAAATATATGTTTGGTATCTTCCTATTTAGCTCCCACAATATATAAGAAAGAAAAGTTTGTTTCTCACTTTTGATATGAAAACTTCTGGCAATGTTACTATGTGCATAGAACATGACTTGAGAAGCAAATCCCCAAACTCATCTTAATATGTATAATAAATGATCTGTCCTGAGAGTGAAAATATTCTTAAGCACCTAGATAAATAGATATAACAAAATGGAGAGAACACAACTATTTCAAGCATTCAATTTTAAAGCACAGAACACTAAATTAACAAAAAAAGACAAAAAATGGGTAACTAAAAAAGCATGTAATATTCATACACGTATTTTATTTAGGAGTGACAGAAACTTTTTCTATGTTGAAACATTAATCTACACCTCAGCTTCTATTCTGAATATTTAAAGTTATAAGTTATAGTTCTAAATAATAACAGATGCGTCATAGTCTTGGCTTGAATAAAATGGTGGTTTGAATTTTTATAATTCCAATTCAAGCAAGGAGAGAGAGGCTGAGACTTTTTTTCTCTAAACTCATGAAACAAGAAATCCAATCTTTACCACTAGTAATAAACCTACTGGGAAAACTGATAGGGCAGGCAGAAAAAGACATAAAATTGGTGCCATCTATATAGTCCTGTTTCAGGAAGAGAGAAAAAGAGAAAAATTGCCTGAGAAATCACAAATAAAAGGCATGTTTGATAAGATAGAAGACATATTAAAGAGAAAAAAATACCCTGCAAATCAGTCCTACTGAGGTAATAAGTGCAAATACTACAGAGGGTTTCTTAGCTGAAGGTGATCTAAACAAAAACAAAAACAAAATCCTCCAACAACAGCAATAACAAAGACTGAGCGTAAGTAAAACCTTCGGCATGTCTTTTATCTAAAATTGGAATTGAATTCGTTTTAAAGTTGAACAGTTCTGTAAATCTCTTCTATATGATGACACTTAAAATAGTACTCACTTTGTTTATAATATTATAAATTATTCTGAAAGCATTTTAGCAATTGAATAGTTTTGCTGTTTCATTTAGACTAAAATGCTCATTTTATAAGTAGGAAATTAGAATCATAACTGTAAAGACATATATGTTTGTGGAAATTTGGGGTTCATATTGTATAGTTTTTATATATCGTAATAAAATAAGAAAACGGTCTAATATAACACTTCAGGAGTCTTAATGATATGCTGAATTTATGATTCAGATAAAATTAGACCAGGAGTATTATTTTGTTTGTATACACATTTTTATTCTACTGTGTTTATTGAGTATTATATAGTATGGATATTGATTATCACATATTGATGAATAAAACACGGCCTCTGCCTTAACGGAATTCAAAGAGCAGAGAAGAGGAAAGTACACTAGAATAATGTCAATGCTGTGTGGCAAGAGTTACAGAGTGTTAGATATAACAAGCAACATTAGAACAAGGAAGGAAAGTGATTTACAAGTTCATCCAATGAGGAACAAAAAGGAAAACATTTAGGCCATGGAGCTCAGAAGAGGTGACAAGTGAAAGCAATTTGTTGGTAGAGTTTGAGAACTAAATAAGTAACAGTCCTGAAACACTTCTCTAGGGGAGCAGAATCTGTACCATTAAATTTGAATAAAGACTACTAGGAATGCAAGAAAGACCCAGAGAGGAGCAATCCCCCAGCTGCTGCACTGTAAATCAAGAATATTCTCCAGTCACCCCAAGCCCTTAAGTTACAAGCACAAAGTGTATCCAAATTACAAGTTTAAACTCAAACAATCTGGGTAAATATGTGATAAAGACTAAAGATGCTTAGAACATTTGCATATGGGAAACCTTCGAAACTGGGTGTTTTCAGGGGAACTCTTGTGAATGAATTGAGAAAATGATTTTACGACGGGGCTGCTCGAGATACTCTCTTGTCACCCTGTGCCCTCCTCTTTTTGCCTAATAATATCTATGAGCCCCTGGCTCTTAAGCCATTTTGTGCTTATGTAATTTTTTCCCTCTGTTAGTAGTTTAGCAATACCAAAAGAAACATGCCATGTACTGGAAACGTTGTGTGTATGCTAAAATGCACCAGTCCCTCTGTGAGGAGCCACATTCAGAAAGATGTGTGTGTTAGTTCTGTAAGGACAACATAATCCATCCGCTAAGTTAGCAATCCTTAAACTGAGTTCTTCAAGATCATACTATGTGTTTCACAAATATAACACAGAGAGATGCTAGCAATGTTTTCCTGTATAGTGTATTTTTAAATATGAGGAGGGAAAAAAAAAAAAAAAAACAACTCTAGGCATGTTTGAATAAGCCAGGCTTGTTTGATAATGTCTGTTCCTTTCATAAAGATGACATTCTTGATAAATTCCAAGATGTGGCCTGAAAAATCATCTACACTAACTTTTTCATTTGGTTCATTGATGTATCAAAAGCATTTACCAACTAAAATTGGCAATGCATGTCGAAAATGAAAAGCAAGATTCTGTACTTCTCAAATTGTTTTAGAAAAAGAAAAGACAAAATTTGGACAACCTCACGGTGAAGATGATTCAAACAGCTTTCTCTCTTTGTATTTCTTTTTCCTTTTCTTTTTTTTTGAAACAGTGTCTCACTCTGTCACCCAGGCTGTAATGCAAAGGCACGATCTTGGCTCATTGCAACCCCAGCTTTCCAGGCTCAGGCAATCCTCCCACCTCGGCCTCCCAAAGTGCTGGGATTATAGTCGTGAGCCCTGGCTCCCAGCCTAGCAGCTTCATTTATAAAGAGAAAAAAGTAATACCATATAAGGTGAATCTTGGGATAATTTGAGAAGTACCCAAAATATGTAGTTGTAATTTTCTCTGCTACAAAAAGCCCAAGAAAGGGCTTTTTTGTATTGTGAGGCAATGCCAATAAAATCCACAGGGACACACATGCACACACATACACACTATACGCATACATAGACAAATATCTGGTTTATATACATTCATCTGATTAGTCAATTTCATACCTAATTTTAAGGTGATATGTGTTATAGACTGGTGTTCTCATTTTAAAATTGGTATTTGTTAAACTACTATTGACAAATGTGAAATCAAAGATGTTTTGCTTTGTCTGCATTGCTTTGCACTTTATATTTTTATCACATTTTATTAGCTATGTTTCTATTTCATTAATGTGTGAAGTATAAATTATGAATAAAACAGATTGTTTATTATAGGTATGAATTTATTCATGGCACCATTTTTACTTCAAATTTGATTGCAATGTTCATTATAGCTCATGACTTGCTGCTGATGTTTGGGTACCTATCATGATTTTCAAATATGTTCCCTGATCAAAAAATTTGGAAAATTTTAATTTAAGCAGTGAAAGTATTTGTTACCTAATCCTAAAGCAAATGTCTGTTAAATACTTAACACTATTAAAGGGCTATACTGGATTGCATTTTTTCTGATATTTTGAGTTGGAATTCAGAATGTTTTTTATTGAATGCTTTACATAGTAAGTAGGATTCAACTGCCATACAATTTAGTCCCATTTCATCTAGTACTAAGAGAAGAATAAAATAAACTGCCCCAGAAAATAAATTGTATTCCAAAACTCAAAAATTAGTCAACTGTGGTATCTCTATTTGAAAGATAACCACATTTGTACACACTTGAAATAGTATTCTTAAAAATTCATAACATATCAAGATAAAATACATATCTTTGTATTTGTGGAGGGTGGGGATTAGAATGGGGAGAATCACCTAAGTTTAGCAGCCTGAAGGAAAGTGCCTGGCGATGGCATCTGTTTTAGAATCTACACTACCAGAGTGTGATTTTTGAACTGGACAGTTAACCATTCTGAATTTCAAATTCTAAACTTGTAATTGGAGTATTTTCCCCACCTCACAATGCTGTTCTCTTAGTGACAATTTATAATTGGCTTGGCACATTCTAGGCCTTTATTTAATGATGATTATAATGGTAGCTTCTATACTGCTTATTTCCTGATCTCATTTAATGTTAAAATTGCATTTCCTGGATAATAACTTGGAGTTCTTTTTGCTAGCCTTGTTTCTTTATTTTGAAATGTAAACATATATTCATGAAACATTTTATTCAAGCCTGTGGCATGGATACTTGACAGTGTTAGAGTGGCCAATTGTCTGGTTCTCTCAGGACTGAAGGGATGCACAGGATTTAGAACTTTTGTTTTATTTTTTGATAGAGGATCTCACTCTGTCAACCAGGTCAGAATGCAGTGACAGGATCACAGCTCACTGCAGCATCAACCTCCTGGGCTCAAATGATCTCAGCTCGGCCTCCTGAGTAGCTGGGACTACAGGCATGCACCACCACACCCAGCTAATTTTTAATGTTTTTGTAGAGATGGGGGTCTCACTATGTTGCCCAGGTTGGTCACAAGCTTCTGGGCTCAAGCAATCCTCTTCCCTCAGCCTCCAAAAGTGCTGATATTAAAGATATGAGTCACCACACCTGCTCAGCATTTTCAATGCCAAAGCTGGGAACATTACAGGCACACCACAATGGCTGGTCACTCTCTAGCAACCACCTAAATCTCATTCTCCTTATCCATATTATATTTTAGCCACAAACCAAATTTCTAGCACTTTGTATCTAAGTTGGTCCATGGGATTAATTTTGACCAGTGGAATGATGTGTGCACTTCTGAGCCAAGTAGTTGATTCTATTATGTAACTTCCCAATGCTTGTTTCCTTTCACCTGCTGGCTGATGACAACAGGTACAAGGTGGAAACAACCTGGGGCTCTGAATCGCTGTGTGGAGTGGGGTTTGCCATTTCTTATCAGACTGCGGAGTAGGTGAGAAATGAACTTCACTGTGTTCATTCATTAACATTTTGGAGTTATGATATCAATAAGTATATCCTAATTAAATGACAGAACTTATTTTTAAATAATATTAAAAACAAAAGTAGTATGTCAATTGCTCTTACCATAGATGGCATATAAAGCAGCTAAAAATGCTAGTCTACATGAACAATATTGTCTTCTAAGAAAAGTTGTCCTAGCAACTTAAAATTACCTGTGAGTTTAAGTAAATTAACTCACTTCGGAGGCTGAGGCAGGCGGATCACCTGAGATCAGGAGTTTGAGACCAGCTTGGCCAACATAGTGAAACCCTGTGTCTATTAAAAATACAAAAATTAGCTGGACATGGTGATGGGTGCCTGTAATCCTAGCTACTTGGGAGGCTGACACACAAGAATTGCTTGAACCTAGGAGGCGGAGTTTGCAGTCAGCCAAAATTGTGCCACTGCACTGCAGCCTAGGGCACAGAGTGATAGCTTTTCTCAAAAAATAAAATAAAATAAACTCACAATTGTAACCCTCAACAGGCAAGTAGTAACATTTCCTCCATTTTTGTGGATAAACGTAGGACTTAGAGGAGATTTATTTTCCTTTAAATTGCACAAAGATAAATGCCAAACCTGAGAATAAACTCCTGATTTCTAAAATGAAACGCTATGTTCCTCCATTACGCTGTATTTCCTTTACATATTCCTTTACATAAATATGTAATGTAATATCCATTACATATTTCCTTTACATAAAGCAATAATAATAGAACAGACACATGTTCACGTTAGGTGAAAATGTCTGTTTCTGTCTAACTAGAAAGTTACTAGGAATTGCAAAAAACTGTTAGAGCTTCGGACAAGTCTGTTATGAAACCAAATATGGCCATTCTGGGAACATTCATTGACCACAGATTAAGCAACACTGCTAAGAATCTTTTCTTAGTCTTAAGTAGTGTGTATTCAATTTCCAAATGATGGTTCTGTCTATATATTTCAATTAACTTTAACCCGGGTCATAGTAACACAATGAAATCGTTAAGATAATTAAACTAATATTCTCTTCCTCCATGTTATGGAAACAAGCCTGAAACTTAAACATAATAATACTGTATTATAATTAAGGATTTAGCTTACAGAGAAATTTATTATATTCCCAGTTTTTTTCTTCAATTTTAGCTATAGAGGCAATGATAATGGGTTAAAATTCAAGGCAAGATGAAAAAAAGCTGTACGAAAATGTGGTTGGCAGGATTTTGTCTAAATAAAACAAAAAAAAAAAGATTGGATTGAATTTGAGCGTTTAAAAGTTAACATTAAGAAAAATTACATCAGGATAAGAATTTTTTTCTATGGCTGAAATGAGAACTTAACAGGTGAAACATTTATTTTGGCATGAAGATAAAAATGAGAGAGAAATAACATCACAATATATTGCTTCATCAGAACACAGTTCGGCTTCATGCAAAGGTACCTCAAGTTGGGATTTTTTTTTTATTGTGCTTTAGGTTCTGGGGTACATGTGCAAATCATGCAGGATTGTTGCATAGGTACATACATGGTAAGGTGGTTTGCTGCCTTCATCCCCCTATCTCCTCTATCTGGTATTTCTCCCATCGTTGTCCCTCCCCACACTCCCCACTCCCCACTGTCCCTCCCCTAGCCCCCACCACTGACTGCAGTGTGTGATGCTCCCTCCCTGTGTCCGTGTGTTCTCATTGTTCAACATTCTCCTATGAGTGATAACATGCCCTGTTTGGTTTTCTGTTCTTGTGTCAGTTTGCAGAGAATAATGGTTTCCAGATTCATCCATGTCCCTATGAAGGACACAAACTCATCGTTTTTTTATGGCTGCTTAGTATTCCATGGTGTATATGTGCCACATTTTCTTTATCCAGCCTATTGTTGATGGACATTTGGGTTGGTTCCAAGTCTTTGCTATTGTAAACAGTGCTGCAATGAACATACGTGTGCATGTGTCTTTATAATAGAAAAATTTATAATTCTTTGGGTATATACCCAGTAATGGGATTTCTAAGTCAAATGGTATTTCTATTTCTAGGTCCTTGAGGAATCGCCACACTGTCTTCCACAATGGTTGCACTAATTGCACTCTCACCAACATAGTAAAAGTGTTCCTATTTTTTTTTTTAATTTCATTCCTCTTCCAACACTTAATCTGTTGGTGACTTTAAAAGAAATCCAAGGTAATTTGAACTTTACTATCTCCCTCTGCTATCACATTCTGTCTTCCTTTTACCTACACTTCTTGGAAGAGTGGTATATTCATACGAATTCCATCTACTTAATCGTCACTCATCTTTAAAGCTATATATTCTACATTCTTCCTCTATTTTTTCCCAACTGCTTTCTAGCAAACAGATCTTGTACCCTTTTCTTTCCAATTTATTACCTCCTAAAACTTGCTGTAGCATCAGAAATTGCTGATTACCTGTTCCTTCAAATGTTTGGGTCTTAGGGACATCACAAAGAACCTATTTCTGTGAATGTTCCAACTCACTGGTGGGTTTCATTTATTTCAAGCATCCTTCAGATCTAGACATTCCTTGAAGTTGCCTTCTTACACAGCACTTTCACTGAAGTATCATATTTACTTCCATTCCTACTCTCATGGCATTCTATTCAAAATTGTGGTCTTTGGCGGTAATTTGGAGTTTTTCTTTGTTTTCTTTTGCTTTCTTTTTTTTTTTTTTTTTTTTTTTTTTTTTTTTTTTTAAGGGAAGAGCCGTGATTTGTCGCCCAGGCTGGAGTACAGTGGTGTGACCTCTGCTCACTGCAACCTCTCAGTCATTCTCCTGTCTCAGCCCCTTGAGTAGCTGGCACTGCAGGTGCACACCACCACACCTGGCTAATTTTTGTATTTTCAGTGGAGATAAGATTTTGCCGTGTTGGCCAGGATGGTCTTGAACTCCTACCCTCAAGGAATCTGCCCATTTTGGCCACCCAAAGTGCTGGGATTACAGGCGTGAGCCACCACACCTGGCCCCAAGTTTTTCTTGAAATACAGATTGTCAGTTATTTATTTGTGGTTAAAATATCCAAAGGAAGGTCTACTAAATTCTACACCTGTTGGACTAAAATTCAAACTCATACTCTCATCCTCTAAAACAACTTATTGTCTTATTTCCCTTTTCTCTGACTGTCCCAATTATTTAGGCTTGTCAGAAATAGTTTTGGCTCTGTTTTCACTTTTTTAAAAATAAATATTGATTTATATTATTAGTGCCTCCACATGTTTCTTACTTCAGTTCCCTTCTTCCCATTCTCACTGTGAATCCTGGGTTAGGCCCTCATTATACTATACTTGTAGTACAGAAATGGATCTACTTTACCTAGCACTACTTTATATTCTTCTGGGCTGCTCATTTCACCTAAAGAGTTTTCACCATTCTTCCCTATTATAATTCATTCAGATATATGCTGCTGGATTAACCTAAGCACAAATCTGCTCATTTCTTCATTGCTAAATTTTGATCTAAATTTCCTTCCAGATGAAGCACTAAAGTCCTCAAACTAGATTTAAAAATCATTTCCAATATGCCTGGAAGGTGCTTTTATAATCATATCACACCTACTCATTAAGTTTCACCCAAGCACGACAATTGTGAATTCCCCAAATATATCCCAGACCTTCCCATTCCTGTTAATTTCATACCATACACCAATTCTAGTTCACTCCTTTGAAACCTTAATCATCTCTTAAGACCTAGCCCAAAGGAGCCTTCACCCATAAATGTTTCTTTCCATTCCTGCAAGAGGCTGTTTGATGATCCTCTTCCTTGAAACCACAAAACACTTTCCATTACTTCCCTTTTGACAATTATCTTATTTCAGTCAAATCATAGTATTTGGCTGTCCCATATATTTGTTTTTCCCAGACAAGATCAAGGTGCCTTGTTGGCAGGCATTATATTAATCATCTTGGTATTTCTCAAGTGCTTATCAAATATTTCGCATTTTCTCAACAGAAGAGTTCTTTATACAGAAGTGCATTCAATATAACACTTAGTTTTAGAAACAATTGAATTGCCAAACTATCCTAATATGTAAGGGGCTAATTGAGATGTATTGAAACTTGAATGGAATAATATAATCAAGAAAAAATTTCATTCTGATGAAGCATCACATGATAATTAAATCACAAGTTTTTAACTACTGAAAAAATAAGGAAGTAAAATTTCACTAAATTATAACTTGTCAGCTTAGTATTCATCAGTGCCATAAATTGCACATTTCCAATGTGCAATTTAACAATAGAAACTAACTTCTAAATATTTTTTTTCTGGTTTAAGTAAGGCAATATTAAAACTATATAAAATTACATATCTATTATGCATATACACATATATATATATATATTTATATGTATATGTGCATGTATACTATGTATGGCACAATATAAAATGGTTTTACCCTGATAAAATGTAGTAATGTTGGCAGTTTGGGATTTTCCAAAACTAAAGAATGTATTATCTAACTGCAAGCCTTCTCTAGGAGTTATAAGATGATTTTTTCTTTCTAGGAATTAAGCATAAAAAGAAATAGAGGGAGATAGGCAAACATCAGAATGTCTCCCAATAGTCCCCAAACCTATTGGTATTCACATCCTATGTAGTTCCTTACCAAACTGTACCAGAATTGTTTTGTGTGACCAAAAGCATAATGAAACATTGATCATATGTATTTTCCTAGATTAAAAGACAATGATTTCCATTTTAGGAGGAACTGACATACTGAAACCTTTCAAAAACCATGCAAGCTTGGAAGCAGCTCCTGTTGACCCTGGAGATGACTGTAGCCTCTGCAATCTTGAGATACCCTGAGCCAGAAACACCAACAAACATGCACCTGCATCCCTAATCCTCAAAAATTATGTTCCCTAATTTGGGGTACAGTAGGCTTCCCTCATTCAAGGAAGACACATTCCAAACCCTCCTGGAGATGCCTGAAACCAAGAATAGTACCAAACATTATGTATACTATGTTTTTTCTATGCGTACATACTTAGGATGAAATTTAATTTATAAATTTGGCAGAGTAAGAGATTAACAACAATAACTAATAAAAATCGAGCAATTATGTCAATGTCCTGCAATAAATGTTATGTGAATGTGGTCCCTTTTTCTCCTCTCTTTCTCTAAAAATATCTTATTGTACTGTCGTTCTTTATTTTTGTACCATGGTTGACCATAAATAACAAACCACGGACAAGGAGGGACTAACATATTTTGTTATTAACAATAGGTAATACATAGTTACATAGAAATTTTACCACTAAGCATATTTATAATGAAATTAGTAATGAATATCTTTAAAAGATTTTGTTAACTACAATTGTTATTGACTACATTAATAAAACACTGTTTCCTCAAAATAAAAATTTATATTAGAAGAATTTGTACTCTATTTATTAAAAGCGCTTACAACCCCTTATCTCTAAAGATTTGATTTCTCCTTAGCTCTCATAAAACCATAACATCTGTGGGTTATTTTTCTTTTCCTTTAAAATGAATTGTTTTAAGTATTTGGTTCTGTTTACTCTAGTGTTTCTCAAAATAGATTCCAGGAAGTTTTAATGCCTAGGTGAAGATCAGAAATCTGAAATTTTCAACAGCTGCTTGGGCATAGCAGGAGAGAACTATAGGTCATACAAAAAAGAAAAAATAGATTTTTCTTCCTGGACTCTTTCTTGTGTTTTCTGGAACCCAGTGTTTGGATTTGCTACAGGCTAAAGAAAGACTACAGTGTTTCTTCTCCATAATTCTGTGCCCTGTTTTTTTCTTTTCTTTCC